ATATTATGTTTTATTTATTATATCTTGCACAAGATTCTAACATTTGAAATGTTGCTGGATTGATTACCACTTAGATGATGCTGTAAGACAGAGCCCATGCATAGTTACATCGAACTGTAACTTTGCCAGCTTTACATCGGTATTAGATTTTCTCGACAAGGAGTACATGCTATTGAGGCAATCCTGCTTATGGCCCTTGTATTCGTTGAGTGGCGTACAGTTTTCTGGACAGTTGCTTGATACTTTGCTATGTCGGCTGCTTAAGCTAGTTAACGGAGATGCCCTCCATTTTGATGTTGGGGGCAAGGTCGTTACGTTTTCTATATACAAGTTTGCCCTCATCACCGGATTGAGGTGTACGGGCGAAGAAACAAGAGGCTTCTGAATGAATATTTTCATGGGCAGCCGATAAAAACTTTAGGGCAGTTGGGAGAAGCATTCAGGGCATGCGGCCATATGTCTGATAGATTGAACCTAGGTTTGGTGCTTATTCTCGTGAGCGTACTCAGGTGTCATCACAGGACGACGTCGATCAACGTTTTTCATTTGGTGGTTGTTGATGACCTTGATACCTTTAACAGCTATCCTTGGGGGTAGAGATGTTTTGTGGATACCTTACGCGCCTGTAGGAAAGGATATTCGATGCCTTAGGGGGATAGACTCGAGCGTAAGTACGATGCATATGGCTTGCCGTTGGCTTTACAGGTAAATGTTCGATATAATGAATTATCTATTTTTTTTATTAAATTCATTATATAATAATTGTAATTGTTATAGATATGGGTGTACGAGACTGTCCGCATCTTGGCTGGCCGGTATGCGATGAGGGGAGAGACATGCTGCCCTCGGATGCATTACTGGCGAACACAAGACAAGCCACTTGTGAAACAAATATCAGCTCTCATTGACGATCCTGAGGTACGTATTATACATTTGTGATTTATGTTGTATGTCCTTTTAAATTCTCGATATATGGTCATTAACTCGGTGAAATGTCTATACGTTAGCTTGAAGTCCTCACTGAGTTGACACCGTCGATTGAGGAGGAGGGTTAGAGTTACCTGCGTGACCTGTTTAGGGCAGTCGCGCCAGACGATCAGATGTCCGAGTACATCGTTGATCGAGATAGGGTATGTTCATTGAATATAATATGTTGATTATTGTTTTGATTGTTTAATTAAGTTATTCATTCATGATATTCATTTTTTAGGAGTGCCCTTCAGTATCACCTCCGTTGATGTCACCTCCGTCGAGGATATCACCTCTGCACGTAGCCGGCCCGTTTCCAATGATGATATATTCAACCTTCTGACTACATTTATTAGGTAGATGAGAGGCGAAGTAGCAGAGTTACTACATGATGTTACGATGTTACGAGATGTTACGATGTTACGAGCTGAGTTAGGAGACCTTAATACTGAGGTCATTGCAATACGAGACGACATAGCAGGCCTACAAGGGACTGACAGCTATTGGGATAGAGCGGGCAATAGAGAGACTGGCGGTCATGGGGATGGAGGGGGTGACGGAGGAGTGAGTTAGATGGGGTATGTTTAGGGCAGTCGCGCCAGACGGTCACAGTATATCGTTTCCCCTTCACAGTCGAGGTGAAGTGAAGGACGTTGTTGGACGAGACGTTCCCCAATCTCTTCCGTGAGGTCGACCGGTACGGCACAAAGCGTTCGATGAATGGTTCAAATCCATTAAGCATGAGTAAGTATTTTATTATTTTGCTAAAGCACATACGAGATCATCTATGCTTTTTGTAAAACTTCACTTTTTCATTTTTTTAGAGATAACTACAAGATTGGGGCGAGATAATTTTGAACGCGAAGAAGTGGTTTGAAGATATACTGACGAAGGCTGCTTAGCTCCACGATGATGTAAATGTATTCTCGTTGTTATTTATTATGTTTACATAATTTGTTGTTTTATTTAGTTTTTTGACCATCTCTTTTTTATTAGTGTTTCTGGGTTAGTATATCGACATGGCTATGGAAATGTTGCGCGATCGAGTTTGTAGACACCCGAGATCTTTTGACATTCCTGGCCGAGTCGTCCTGAGCTCCGGGTTTGCACGTGTCATTGATTTTGAGCATAGCAAACTCCTGCTCCAAGAGAATGGATATGTGGTCCCTAAAAACATGCTGGAGTGGGTCATTGGCTGGAGCCGACATATGGGAAGCCATAGACTGATTGTACACATGTGTACATTATTGAGATTGTATTCGCTGAATCAACTATATATGTGTACGACTCAACCATAGTTGTCGACACAAGGTTAACTGGAGCCGATGACTATGATCATTCCCATGATAACTAGACATGCGATGATTCAAGTAAATGACAGATTAGCCATTGTACGGAACATGACGATGGTGAAACAATGAGTATCATAAGATTTATAAGTTTTTAATTTGAAAACTTAGTTTTTAACTATATGTTATCGAACTAATATATTATTTACTTGCAAGGGCAATTGTGCTATATTTGCAATAAAGTATATAGAATTTTTGAGCATTAGTCACAAGGTTGATACAATAAACCAATTTTTGATAGACATATGGAGGTTGAAGTAAGCTTTTGATTTGTATGAATACAAGTGTGGTCCTTAGTACATTGTTTATTCTTTTATTTTAAAAAATGTAAATATTGTATACTTTGTTATGACTTGTGTTGTGATACGACAACTGTAAATATAATTTTGAGCATATTTGAATGTAATTTCAATTCACGATTGTGAAATTATGGTTTTTGTACCAAAAGGTAATAGAACAAGGCAGAATGAGTGGAAAAGGACCAAAAATGTACGAAATCGTGAATCTGGGGACCGAAATCCTAATTTTCGAAAGTTATGGGACCTTGGATGCAATTTATGAAGGGCTTTATTGAAATGAAAG